TTGTTTCCTGGGTGGTTAGATTAACTTCTACTCTTTTAATTTCATGATTTTCTTTTCTACAATCTAATATAGGTAGATTAATATATTGTTGCACAGAGATAGAATGACTTTTCTATATTCTTATTTTAATAGATATTCCTAAATTGAGTTGTTGCCTTTTTTCCATTTGAAGATTTTATTCCATTTCCAGCTTTGAAAAGTTATATCTAATCCTTTGCAATTTTAAGTATTTGTACTGAGAAGTTACATTTGTCTACTATTTAATCTAGTCTTTTACAGTTGAGCAAGTTTTGGAGTTCTCAATATTTTAGCTATGCTTGTTTAAGTCTAATAATTGTTGTGAGTCCTACCAAACCTTTATTATTTAGCCTATTACAAAGACCTATAACTTGGCTTTCTCTTTATAATATCCATATGCTTTTGAGACTATAGATTTTAGAATAGTGTACTACACTATTAGGTATCAATTTGCATAATACATTTTTGATCTTAAATGGTTCTTAAAATCTAATTGTAATAATGGTCCCTAATGTATTTAGTATATAAATTTTGCAGATTACTTATGTCCCTTTTTGAGAAACTAAATTTATAGCTTTTTACTTTAATAGGAACAAAAGTTAGAAAATGTTATAAATTAATGATTTGAATAATAAAAAACAATTGTAGGTAGTTTTTTTATAGTTATTAATTTAAAAATTTTAATGTTTTCTAATGAGGAATATTTGACTTTTGTTCCTGCCTCCTTCTTTAGGAACTTATTTTTATCTGGTTATTAGGACATTGCATGTTTTAGTGATAATATATCATGCTATATTTGAAATTCTATTCTTGGAATTAGGATTCTATTTAAAATATAAAGGACATATTTATTTGTTACTTTTTTCTTTTTCAACATTCTAGTTATCAAATCAATTTTCTTGTAAATTTTTTCTATTATTTCTATTAAAGTTTTTTAATTTCCTATTCATATACCTCAAAATCTGATATATTTGTTTCTATCTAAATCTTTTATCTCTTTTTTGTTTATTCTAGTTTTGACTCTTCCAGAATATTGATTAGAACTATTACTAATAATGAGTATTGATTTATTACTATTGATTTAAGAGTCATTGGCTTTGTAAAAGATTCTTGTTATTTTCAAGATCTTCTTTTAATCTGACTATCCATATAGTATTATCTATGAAAGCTATTGCTGCATACCTGGATTCTAACTTATGTTCTTTCTTTTCATAAAAATCTGGATTCCATTTTACTGACATTGTGTATCTATTATTTTTGTTATTTTAAATTTTGCATAATAAAGAATTATAAAATATTCTCCATAATAGAAGTTAAATAGTTTCTCCTTGATTCATACCATATTCTACTACTATTGATTCTATTAAGTCATTTTAATATAGTATTTTGAATTCTCTGTTTGCAAAAAGGCCTATAATAATTTTGATAAATCCTACTGGAATTTTGATTCTTTTCATTGTCTTTTGTAATATATATAGACTTATAATATTATATGTTTTGATTATATCTTGAAAGAGTATCCACAATTCTTTTTTATTATCTCTAGCTTCTTTATAAACATTATTTAACACTTGAATAGGTTCTGCTATACTTTTTCCAGGTAGGTCTATGAAGTTTGGACCCTTCAGAATATTATATATTTTGCAAATATTACTTAATCTATTAATTATAATTTTTGTAAACCATTTTCAGATAACTTCTAGAAGAACATTTGATCTTGTATTTTGTAATTCACAATCCCATGTTTTTGGCTTGATGATTGGATAAATATGGCTTTGTTTCCATTTGTCAGAAGTGATTTCAAGTTCTAGAAACTTGTTTAATATCTTTTGAAGATATTCTTAACCTTGAATACTTAGTTTTTTGAGCATCTCATAATATAGTTGTGATCTATCAAGAGCTTTATTATTTGATAATATTTATAAAGTTTGCTATAGTTCTTCTTGGGATATAGAAGTTAGGAGTTCTTTGTATCATATGTGATTAATATCTATCCTAGATTCATACTCTTTTTTTCAGTTCTCAGTCAGATAGTCAAAATTAGAACTTTATTTTTTAAAGGCTTCTTTATAATATTTATGAAGTTTTCTTTCTATTTCTACTTTGTTTGTTGTAATGTATTCTTGTCCATTGTTTATAGTTTTAACTCTATCTAAGACTATTTTGACTCTTTTTTTATCTAAGATTGAGTTGATTATTTTTTGTTGATTGTCTCTAAAATTATAGTATCTCTATTCTAATGTTTTTTTGATCTTTTCTTTGACTTTCTTACTTTCTTCATTTTGGTAAACTGTTTTGAGTATTTCAATTATATTTTAAATTTCTTTTTGAATTTCTGACCAGAACATGATCTCTATATTATATTGTAAACATAAATTTTCAATCTGAAATCCAGGATAGTGTTTTTTGTTATGTTCTTGTATCACTATATTGGAGTTGTATATCTTTATGTACTTTGATTAACTTTGCTTTTTTAAATAGTGTATTGAGTTTAATGGCTCTTCTATATTTAATAAATTCAAGTCTTGGTTGATATTTTTTTTTCTGATTTGATCTTTTTTTCTTGATTGCCAATTTGAAAAAGACTGTTAAGATTATCTGGTTTTTAAAGCATTTCTATATTTGATCTATCCATGATTTTATTAATGTATTTTTTAATTCATTTTTTAGTAATGTCTTTAATTTTGTCTTGAACTTATAATTCATACTTTCCTAATACTTTTTCCATTGTTTTTTTTTGTAGATTTTTTAATATCTATTACTTTAATGGTCTTGTTGAATTGGTTAGAAATCTTGCTTCTCGAAAAGAGATTCTTTTCTTGCAATGTAACTATTAACATCGTATAATTACTTCCTATTGTGTCTGATATATTCTTATTTTCAAAGAGAATTATTGAAAATTGCATTACACTATGGAATATCTACAAATAATCAATTTTACTCTTGCTTATAGTGTTTTGTCTAGTAGGTAATTTGTTTTCCCTTTCCAGATTGCCTGTATATCAATAAAGTCTCTATCTTCAAAAAAGTAAAAGTGAAATTTCTAGTTTCCAAAATAGCCTAAATATTGTCTTGAATATTGATATTCTGTCTTCCATATAATTATATACTACATTAAAGTCTTCTATTATGATTAAATAAAACCTTTTTTCTGGTTTTTTTTGAATTAGTTTCTTGACTTTATTTTGATTCTCTTGATTTTTTTTCTTATTATTTGATAGGTAAATCTGTACTATACAAGTTTTATTTCTTTTTGCTCAGAAGTTGACTGTTATTATATATCCTTTTCATTTTTCAATTGATGTAATTTTCTTTTCTAGATTTTTTCTTATTAGCAAACTGACTTCTACTCTATATAGGGTCTTCTTATTTACATTGAAATAGTATTTGTAAAAGAATTGATTTTTGAAGGTCTATTTGCCATTGATAGAAATGAGTTTTATTCTTTTATTTTTTCTAATAGGCTTTATTGTATTATTGTATCTGTTATGTTTCATATATTATATAAGCCTATTTGAATTACTCTACTTTCTATTGTACCTATACTATTTATATTATTTATCTTTGTTTTTACTTTTCCTATTTTATTTTTACCTTTATTTCAATATATTGTTTTTTATTTCTTTATAAATATATCTAACTCTTCTTATTGCTGTTGCTTTGTCTCTGTTGTCTTTATTTTTGCTATCTGATCCTTTTTTTAAGTTGTGTTATAGAAAGGACAGAAGGACCTATTACTTTCTGAATAAATTGTTTCAACTAGTGCACCTTTCAAGAGTGGTTTGCTTTCCTTTCACCTCTTATTTTGAAGAATAGATAGTTTTCTATTTCTAGTTTATATATTCTATTATTGAGTTTTTCTAGATTATCTAGAATCAGTTGTAGTAATTCTTACTGTACACTATTGTGTTCATTACTAATATTGACATTTAAGTTCTTTCTATATTTATTTCACTATCTTTCTTTTTGAAAGTTTAATGATGTTCTATTACTTTCAGTAACTGAGTATCATGTGACAAATCTTTTGGAAATTTGATTCTTTGTGTTTCTTTTTTGTGTGTTTAGACTGATTTACTTTTTTCAAGAAAATTATCAAAAAAGAAAAAAATTTTTTAACCTGACTATGGATTAAAAAAAACAAATTATAAATAAAATAATAAATTATTTTTAAAATTATATTTAAAGTTTAATAATAAATCAAGATAAATAAATTAATTGATAATTTAACTTTAACAATACTATAATTAGTATTGTCTATATTATGTTTAATAAAGTATATATAACTAATCTGACAGAGGATTAAAAAATAATAATATTTAAATTTAATTTGCTACGTTTTTCACACGTTTCAACTCTAAACAGGAGTGGATCCTAACATTTCTAATTATAGTATATTCCTTTTAGCCCCAATTAGAACAAAAATAGTTAATTTCATCAACTTTGCATGACGTAACAATAAAGAAGTTGTAAGCTGGGTTACAACATTATGATTTGTTGTACAACAACGGTTGGCATAAATACATAACGAATAATTTTTGTATGTTCCGAAATCAAATATGCCTTGCGGACGTCTTGAAATTACCGTTGGTAAAAAAAAAAAACTCATTTTAAAAAACTGCTAAAACTTAACATAGAAGGATTCTAAATTTCTTTTTGCTTTTCGAAAAGTTGAAGCGAAAAATTTGAAAGGAGGCGATTTTTTTGGTTTGTGCTCTTATTAATGCAATCAAATATTCGACAAGAGACTAGAAATTGAGGATACCTCTTTATTTATAGACAAAGCCGATCCCTATGTCACCTTATCTATAGACAGACAAAATACGCAAAAGACAAGTGCAATCAAGAATGCTGGAGAGAATGCCTCCTGGAATCAAATTTTTTACTTGTATGTCCGCCTTACTTGTCAACAGAGTTATAGGAATATCGTTTAAGCATACTGTTTTTATTTAAGTGATGTCGTCGAAGGGCGTAATGAACTTTACATGCAAGTTTATGATGAAAACACCGGTTCAGATGAACTTATAGGTATTTAGTAAGTCTATTTATTTGATTCCTTCGAACTTAATTCACATCTTGTTTATGTACTCCAACATAAAGGTAGCATCGTGATTCAATTGGATGCTCTCTTTAAATCTGGATTTGCCGATAATTGGTTTACCATTACAAAGAAAGAAGGGAAAACTTCTGGTTACGTTCACTTAGTCATGAAGTTTAGCGGTCAGGTGAGAATCCACGGTAATTGGGTGACCAATTTTCGATCGTAATTAACCGAGTGATAATAATTAATAATTAGGGACCAACACCTGGACCGACAGGATACGCACCATATCCGGTTCCGACTAGTACTCCAGGATTTTCTAGTCTTGGACCACAGTCAGGACCCATTCCCGAAGGTTATGGCATGGGGACACCACCTCCGCCGGGTCAACCAGGATATCCTCCACCCTCACAACCTACCAATTATTATCAGCAACCGTATGTTGCTCAACCAGTCGCCTATCCTGGTGGTGTCCCAACACCACAAAGTTCTGGTTACGGAAACAATCCGACTTTTCCATTACCATCCGACAAAGAAACATCACCGTATGGCGTTCCTCCACAAAATGCTAATTACAGTGGTCAACCTACAGCTGTTTATCCTGGTAGCGTTGCGCCACCATCTTCTTCTAGTAAGGATAAAAGTGGTGGAAGTGATTGGATGGTAAGTATTTCTGTTATTAAGTATGAAATTACATTTATTTTGTCGTTATTTATTATTTGGATCCATTACAGAAAACTGCTGGCATCGGGCTTGCTGGGGCTGCTGCACTTGCTGGTGTTGCATTCGTTGGAAAGGAAATGTATGAAGGATACGAAAAACACAAAGAAAAAGAAGAATATGAACACGAAAGACATGAATGCGAAAAATTTCATCATCAAGAGGGAGGACATCATCAAGAGGGAAAACATCATCAAGAAGGAAAACATCATCAGCATCATCACCATTACTAAACTAAAAATATATTATAATAATCTATTCATGTTCAAATTCTAAATTGTTGGCAAAATACTAAATTTATTTTTTCGTTGTATGAATACATTTCTCCGAAAGAGAAAATTTCAGAACTCTCCAAACAAACTTGTCAAATTGTTACTTCTGTTGCCGATAGATTGTTTTATATATCAGTATTAGAACAAAAATTGCCAATTACAGTATTTTGAAACTTCTAATAGAACGGCTTCTGAATTAGATTATTGTTATTTTGCTAGTAAATGAAAAATTATTTTTACGAATTATTCAAACAGTCAAAAAAAATAAAGACCGTGTGTCGCTTTTGAAACAATAATATAACGTATAGCAGGCAAATAAAAAAATATATATACGAACACAGACCCAAACGAAACAAAGAAATCGTGTTTTTTTGGAAGCTATGAAATCATTGACTGCGATAAATAGTTAGTTATACTGTATAATGACCACAATTCCCAGAGCCTATAAAAAAATATTCAAAATTATTATTATAATTAATTTGAAATTCAACTTTTTAATTCACAATTATATGGTTGCTTCCAAAAGTTTGAGTCCACTTACTATATTTTTTATTAATACATTTTAAAGTTTTATTATTATTATTTTTTTATTAATTATCATATGATTTACAGTAACAGCCAATCAAAATCTTTCAAGGAAGAAATTTTTTAACAATAATAAAACTTTAAAATATAAAATATATGAATTTTACAATTTTTAATTGTATAATTAAGGATTTAAAAATTGGCAAAGTTGAAATCTATAATAAAAATATAATAAGTGGACTCAAACTTTTGGAAGCAACTGTATATCTTTTATTTATAATATTACAAGGATTTTGATATTATAATTAATTTGTCTTTATATATTATTAGTTAGTTAGAAAACTATTGTGAATCATTTTTTTATAGTTGTTAATTTAAAAATTTTAAAGTTTTCTAGTAAAAGATATTTTATCTTTATTCTTGTCTTTTTCTTTAGAAACCTATCTTTATCTTTATATATTTACAATTTATTACTTTAAATTATTTTAAAAAATAATAAATTTTTAAATTAATATATTAAAGAAAAAAATAAAATAAAATAAAATAACTATTTCAAGCTTTTTTAAAAGATTATTATTCAAATAAACTATTTTTTTAAAAAAAATCTGCTTGATTAGAATATTTTTAACTTCAATTTATTATATTTCAAAAACTTATTTATTTGTTATTAAAACTATATATTGTTTAAAAAATTTAGTATTTTAAATTTTTAAAATAAAAAATCTTATTTTATATATTTTATTTATAAGACTTAAATTTATATTTTAATTGAAATAGTAGTACCAATAATATTCAAATTTAAAAATCTTAGTCATTCTTTTAAAAAAGTTTTTTATTATTTAAAAAATTTAGAAGTATTATATAATATATTCTTTATTTATCTTTTAATATTATAATTGTTTTTTTGAAAAATTATTCAATTAATAAAACTATTTTAATAAAATTTATTTTCTATTATTAATAATATTATTAAAATATATTATTATAATTAATAAAAACTTACTTAATTTCAAAAATTAATATATTTAAATTAACAAATTATATTTAATAAGAATTATATTATATTATACAAATCCCTCAGATCCTTGATATATTATTTAAGTATTAAAAAAAAAACTCTTTCCGCTGATCCCCAATTTTTCAGAAAATTTTCTTTTTTGATAATTTTTTGAGAAAAAGAGAAACCAGCCAAAAAACAAGAAAAACCACCTTTACAATTAAACAACTTA